TGTTCATTTTTCCCAGACTCCCCAGAGCCAAGCACTTGTTGAATGTGGTCAACGATAACTTCGGCACTCTCGCCTTCTGCCGCCGTTGGTTGGATCGCCTCGGTGAGAGCAAATATTTAATGGCGCTGAAGAACCTCTGCGACCTGGGCATCATCGACCCCTACCCGCCTCTGTGCGACACCAAAGGCTGCTACACGGCCCAGTTTGAACACACCATCCTGCTGAGACCCACGTGCAAGGAGGTGGTCAGCCGAGGAGACGATTACTAGGCCTCCACGTCACCAGTTTTTATAAATCTGTCCTCTGCTTTATCACATGAGTATTTGATGGGTAAAGGCCTGAGTAAGTTAATAAGCTGTGCCTTCTCGTTTTTAACATGCTAGTATCTGTTTGTATAAGAGATGGTTGGAGGTAAAGATGTCCCCTTGTGTAACTCACTGGCACAGATGTGCCCACCCGTAAAGTGCTCTAGAACCATTTTATAAATGCAGACAACAATATGGTAAGCTTCTTTTGACCAATGAGCAACCCAGGAAAATGTGAAGTCAAAACCGCATTTTTAATATCATCTGGATTAGGCTGTTGCGCATTTAATAATGCACTTTTTTTTTTTTTTTACACAAATCTTGGCCTAAGAGAGATGTTCTAGTTTTGATTAATTTTCTTTATCAAGTGCTGTTTGTTTCTCCTTTTCAGTTTGATTCAATTGCTCATTTAGGCTGAAAAAGAGGACAAGATATTATTAAAGGTGGGGATTTGGCTTTATTACTTAGTGCAAGAACAGACTTTAATGTAACTTAGATCCTAAGATACTAAAATACTCATTGAAACATGCTTTCCCCTAGGAGCGGGCACTCGTAACAAAAGTGGCGGTGATGATGTGTAAACATCTTTATTTTGGCTATGCTTGATTTCAGGTAAAGCCTGTTTAAAATCACCTTTCTCGGAATAAAGCACATGTGGTGTTTTATTTTGAAGTACAAATAAAATTTATAAGAAATTGTGATCTGCAAGTTGTTTCATGTTTTTTTTTTTTTTTAAGGCTTCATGTGTAACCAAGTCTAATGTTCAATTTATGAAATGTAGAATTTAACCATAAATTAATATCTATCTTGAAAATGTGTATTTTGCCACCACTTCTAGACAAAATTATATAAAATATGATTGGGTCAGACAAAAAGTTGGATCCCAAAATCATTTACAAGTTCAAAGAAAGTAATCTTCTAAAATTAATTACATTTCATTCAGAAAAACAAACAGGAAGTAACGTTAACCATCAACTGCCCGAACGCTTTCCGTTAGGCTGGTAGGTTATGTCTATGGGTTATCTTAGTACATTGACGAAACGTAAGTTGTTATACACATTTTTATCACATCACTAGAACATATTTTAGTGTTTTGTTTAAACGGTCTTAAAAATAGTTGGCGTTTCGTTTGTCTACGTAGTTTGTGTGGCGAACCTCACCAGACGAGCCTCGGAAATTACACAGAAATGTATTTTATAAAAACTCGACCCTTTGTCCTTTTATTGTGTACACACAAGTAGTAATTAATGTTAGCTGGAAAATGTTACACAGAAAATGGCACTATTTCTCATAACAGTCCTAATTTTTTTGTTAGTATTTTAGTCCAACTCCAAACTCGAGTAGCAACTACGGAGGCATTTCGCGGTGAGGGGGAAATGTTTCTTAAAGGGATAGTTCACCCAAATTGAATATTCTGTCATTAATTAGGCCTACTCACCCTCATGTCGTTCCAACCAAACCCGTAAGACTTTCGTTCATCTTCGAAACACAAATGAAGATATTTTTTTTTATTAAATAAGAGATTTCTGTCCCTCCATTGACAGCTACACTACCACTTTGACGCTTCAAAAAGTTCATAAAGGGATCATAAAACTAATCCATATGATTCGAGCGGTTTAGAAGAGACACGATCGCTCGCTTTAGGCCTATGATGAACAGGTTGAATTTAGGCTTTTATTCACATATAATTAACATTGATCAGCATTCAAGTTGGTCATTAAGATTGGCCGTATTTACGAACAGAGCTTTTTTTGGTTTGAAAGTGCCTTCTGTGTGAGCTGTGCTTCATACACAATGAACGACAGTGGACCTTTTTTGCCCGTAATGTGATGCGACCGCACCTTTAGTGATTGGTAGATCATTACCAGCATTAACTACACCAAATTTCTCCAAGTATTATAGATCTCTTTGAACCAAACAAACCAAGCTCTCATTCAGTTTTACACGCAACATGTTCTCAATGTTTCGAAATGGATCCTCAGAAACTCTCCATCACGCTAATAATCTGGGGGTGCACCCGTTTCCTATTGCATTTGAACAGCCAGTCTTTCTTCCGCCTGTAGCGTTTGGACAGCAGAACGTAGAGGACGGGATTCACGCAGGGGTGCAGATACTGGAGAACCGTGCAGGTGAAATGAAACATCTCCCATGAGCGCCCATGCCGGTAAAGTCCCAAATACACACACAGCTCTAGAACATACCCTGGCAGCCAGCACAAGGAGAACGTCCCAGCCGCCAAAAACACCATGAGAGACGCCCGCCGTGTTTTGCGGGTGCTGGCGAGGGACATAACGGGCCTCTTGTGCAAGAAAAAAGCCATACGCCCCGAGTTGACTGCGATAACCAGCATTGGTATGAGATAGTACAGCACAAATTGGCTGAGAACAACCTGGTAATGATGTTCCTGGGTAGTCGGCAGACAAACAGTGCCGTTACTCAAACCCGGGCCTAAGCTTTCCTTAGTGGCGAAAATACGCAACGGGAGACTTATAAAGAAACTCAGGCCCCAGACTAGAATAAACATGAGTACCACCAGGTCCATGGTTGGGGGGCGGTAGGGGTTGGTGATGATCATGGCACGAACCATTGATACGGTGCACAGGGAGTATGTGCTGGCGGCCAGAGAGAACGCCAGCAGAAACTGATAGACCTTGCAGGACGTGTTGCCCAGAGGCCAGGAGAAACTGATCGCGGAGTGGATGGTGAAGGGGATGAGGAGAAGCGTGAGGACGTCGGCCAGAGCCATGCTGAGGAGAAGAACGTCCAGGCGGTTTTTATGGAGGTTCTTGTGTTTGGCGAAGAGGGAGAAGGCCAGGAGGTTGGCACAGAAACCAATGCCCACTATGATGCCACAAGTGCAAGCAAAGATCACTCCGTAGGTGTTTGTGGCTGCCTATTAGAGGCAATGGGGGAAATAGTATAAAAATAGTATGTTTTAAAGTTGCATTTAATTTTTTTTTTTTTTTTTGCAATTAAATCGCTGTATTGAATTATAATTAAAAAAAAAACATTATTATCATACCTAAAAATATAATTTTGTATGAATACAGTATAATGTAAAATATTCTGAAATACATTTTATATACAGTAGTCAACACTTGAAGTGGTTTAAAAAAGTTAATCAAAGTTGTCCTAAGACAAGAACGGGTATTGTTAAAAATTCATGTATAATGAAAGGTTTTAATCCACTTTAAATGTTGACTAGGGTGTGTGTGTGTATATATATATATATATATATATCAAAACATTATTATCTCTCAGTGTAAAAACATAAAAATTAGGTTGACTACATACAATTTTCACTTTGCTTCTGAAAATATGTTCAATATTATGAAATAACTAAGTAAAATGAATTTATTAGTTAATAAAAAACAAATTAATCTCGCATATTGCCAGAGGAAATGATTTACTCACCATCTGAGACGTTCAGTTAGATATCCGTGTATTTGCAAAGATAATACATCTGTGCATTCAGATAAGATTCAACAAATCATTTTTATTTAGAGATGAGTCTAAATGTGTAAAGATAATCCCGCTTTAAGAATAGACAAAATATGGGCTAAGCTTCCCCAATACCTCCAAATAGTGCCATTTACAGAGACAAAAAAAAAAGGATATGAAAAATATCCATTTATCAATAAAGTCTATTGGATTTGATTCAAAAAGCGACTTCTTGCACAAGATTTTATGTAGCGAATACACCAAATTACATATTTCGAATGAATGCCAGTCGTTCCCTGCTGGTTTTCCATCTCTCACTCTCTGATTGGAGGCTTATTGATTTGTGATTGATCTCTGGGCTTCTGGCGTGTGGTTAATGAGTCTTTAAGGCTTGGCATGTGTTCCTAAAGCACTCACAGGAAGTTGACAGAAGCTTGTATTTACCTCTCCATCCATTAGCATGTGCAGTGAAAGGTGTGTAAGTGTTGTTAGAGCCATTTTTGTGTCTTTATTTGCTCGGTATTTGCACACGAGCACACATTGATTGATTATTCCACCATCCTCAGTCACTAGTGACGGATACTTAACCCATATTGATGAAGGAATAAAGTGACTCCTTGTGTGCACAGACAGAAAATAACAGTAAAAACTGCACATATAGTGGTGCAAATTATGAAAATGAATGTTGGTGTCCTCTCTTTTTCAGTTTTATTGTGTATTGCTTATCAATTTATTTATTGAAAATAGCAGAACATTAACTAAAGTAAAAGAAAAGCTGTGTTTATAAAATGTAAAAGATAGAAAAATACTTGGCATAACTATCTAAAGTGCATTTGAAAATCTCATCAAAATCAGCAGCATTGAGATACATTCAGGAAATAAATATTCCAATCAAATAAATTAAATATTACACGAAAAGTCTGACTGAATGAATACGTTTAAAACAGGCTATACTCTAAATGTAACATATGCAAATGAGTTTGTATATTAAGCATATTCTACGCATCAATTAAGGCTTTAGAATAAAGAATTGTTTGGAGAGTTTATAATAAAGGCAAAGGCCTTTATTGTGAATAAAAAAACAACAAGTGGGTTCTCAAAAGAGTCTTGGTATCCCATGCCATGGTGAAAGTCACTTAAGTCTCTCCTTGTAGGTGTCGCAACTCGACCGCAGCAGATCATGTGACCACATTGTATCACTGTTCATTTGCATAAAGTCTGCTCAGTTGCTTCAAGCCCGCTGTCCCTTCAGTCTTGTCATGTCCAGGCTCTTTTAATGGTCTCTTTGCATATGTAAGGCACACCCCCTGTCTTTCCTCCTATCAGGGTCTCTCAATCTGCCCGAACCCATCTTCCTCTTCCTCTTCGTCACAGCTTTCAATGGCTGTTGCTCATATCTCAGGGTCTTGCTGGTCTCTTGCGGTAGGTTGTCTCTCATCCCTATAGTCTCTTGAAAGCTCAAGGGGAAGTTTTTGTTGTTGCCGATGTGTTTGGGACAGTGGACGGTGGCCCACAGCGGGGTCTGGACGCTTCCTTCGCTCTGATATGGGGATATGGCCGTGTGGACATGCTCAAGAAGCTCTTGTATTAACTTGCGCCTCTTCCAGTCATGCAGGGATCGGCCCCTGTCGTGCATCATCTGTGCGTGACCTACTGAACGTCGCCTGCATGGGACAAACAGAGGAAATATATTTCAAACTGACTTTAACCTCAAGTCACATGCTGAGATTTAGGCATTTGACTAGTAGACATGAAAAAAAAAAAAAAAATTGGACCTTCACTGCATGCAAAACTGTGCATTTATTTTGCATTGGCTTCTTAGAGCTCCTGTTTCTTCTGTTACCAGCAGATGGCAATCTCAACTACTCTGAACAAGCCTCATGTTTTGAGATCTTGTAGAAATCACTCATGTTCAAAAAAGTAAGACGAGATCATGACTTACTGTCTGTTGATGAGAGTGTTAGTGGGTCTGGATTGGACCGGTATCAGGACAGTTAACAGGAACACGGCAAACCCCCAATGCCTCAACATACTGGACAACTGAACACAGGAGACAGTCACAAACTTATCAAACATTAAAATATTAAAATATTTTATAATTTAAATCAATTGCATACACACACACACACACACACACACACACACACACATATATATATATATATATATATATATATATATATATATATATATATATATATGTGTGTGTGTGTGTATGCAATTGATTTAAATTAGAAAATATTTTATTATGCATATTAGTCTACAAATAATAAATATTATTTGTAGACTAATATGCCTAATAAAATATTAAAATATTTTCTAATTTTATATATTATAAGCCTAATAGTATATATATATACTATTAGGTTTATTAGGCAAAAGATAAAATACAAATGATAATATAAAATATATATTTTTATTAAAAATGTTTAAAAATTACTACATATTTTTATTAAAATATTTGCCTTATATCATTTGTAAATCTGAATGATTTTAGTTTTAATATAAAAGTATAATATTCTTTTCACCTTCTGCATGCATTTTAACATTATGTATTTGTATATATACATTAACTTGAATTATTGCTGGTACTTAGAACGATGTCCAGTACACAAGTGGAAATAGTAATAGAATTATATAATTATTCATCAATGAACATGAGGTGTAGTAGCCTACATTATATTGCTGTTGTAAGGCTTCAACATTGATAATATACTCACATGTAATGCCACTGCTCAGTAGATGTTTCTGCCACCCGGCTGGACGTGTTACAGATGTTGAAGCCCAACATGTGACTGTACATTCAATAAACCAGGAGCATCATCTGCTGCCTAAATGAAGCATGTTAATATGTCCAAACTCCACCAGTCCAGAAGACACACTCTTCCTATGTCTCCTTCCAGAGTGTTTGAAGGAATGAACGCATAGAGAGAGAGAGGACCAGAGCGATGGGCGTTAGATTTATTGCACCGGTGAGTCTTGTAAGTCCCCTTTGCTGTTCACTGCAAACTGGAATAGACAGCAGGCGTTACAGCAGAGAAAATTAGTGCGCACTGCACACTTGTCTGTGTGTGTGTGTGTGTGTGTGTGTCTGCTGCACATGACTGCCAAAGTGTATACCAGACTGACAAACCACACACACATACACACACTTCTAGAAACGCACAGGCAGACACCTTCATTGGAAAGAGGCTGGTATGCTGGTCTCTCTCTCTCTCTCTCTCTCTCTCTCTCATGAAGGGCTCAGGTTTGGCCAGGAGGGGCAGCATTTGACGAATAATCTCCCAATGATCTCTAGTCAGCGCAAAAGTTTCTCCAACAGAAAACACTTTCCTTAAACGCCTCGTATGTCACCTTGTAACACATTACTTCGACCCGCCTTAACAAAGATACACGCTCTAAGTGATTGACCAATCAAAGCAGACTGGGTTTTTCAGAAGGCGGGGTTTAGAGAAACTACTATTCAGACAGAGGGTGAAAACAGGTGCTGCAACTATATATATGAAAAATAATGTGTTTTTTAACATTTAAAGGTGCTCTACGTAACTTTTAGCGGCCTCTAGTGGTGATGTTTCAGATTGCAACCAAATTTTTCAAGAGCGCTCGTGCTCGAACAATACCGTCTATTACGCAAATATCTCGGCGAATACTTGACGGATTCGGCGAGCACCGAGCTCGTTGGGACCATCTAGTCGAGCTGAAAAGAACCATATAGGTTCCATAGTTTTTAGTGGTGTTTTCGCGGAGATATTAGCAGAAAACCATCGGGCGCGCTGCAAAATTGCGTACGCCGGTGACGTCACGATCTCAGAAGAAAATCGCTCGTTTCTCTATAACGCAAAGACCCAGAGAGCTCAAATTCTGGGGAGGAGGTCCCAGGGGAACCCTTGCCCGAACGCTAGAGTGGCGGGCCTCGGGGATGCCCCTTACCGGATCGCCGTTCGCTGGGACCCCCGATTTCGAACGGCTATAACTCGGGGAGCCGGGCGAGTTGGACCTCGGGGGTGGGCTCGTTCGAAAGGCCCCGTCCAGCACTACGAACGATTAGAGTCTTGGGAATATTGATCAAAGATTGACTGAGATATAAGCCGAAAAACGTGCGCCTTTAACCGGACGTAACTCCCTGACCGTCTACAATAGATTGTATATAAGGAGAGAGGCTCGGGAGCGCGCATGCACGTCACATCCGTTGGATTTCGCGGTAAATCCGACCCGGAGACTTCACATAGAAATAGGAATACTGGCCTCAGAGGTAATAGCAAAACTCGACAAGTGGATCATTTTAATGTGTGATTACAACCCCTTCACACACAGGCAATAAAAAAAGGATTCATTTTAGTAGAAAAGTTCCATATAGCACCTTTAATCATGTAGACCTATTCTAGAAGACTCTCTGCACAATAGTATGGACCTGTAAATGAGCATATTATGGTCTCTTTAATTTTTCTATCTTTACTGTGTTTATTATCCATGCACTGGGTCCTTTTAACGTATGAAGCAAATCCCGAAAACCATTACAATGGACAACTGATACAACACCAAAACATTTTTACATTTACATTTGGCAGACGCTTTTATCCAAAGCAACTTACATTGCATTTCAAGGTACACATTTACATGCTCATCAGTTCTTGCTTTCCCCTGGGGATCGAACCCATGACCTTGGTGTTGCAAGCGCCAACGCTCTACTGTTTGAGCTACAGGAAAAAATATATATACTGCATTATGTTGAACGCCTAACATTAGTCTTTTATTTTGCATGGAAATTCTGTGTGAGAGTTCGGATGAACATTATAGCTTATAGCGCAGACCATGAGACCCTCCCCTCCTAAAACATGGGTGAAGCTGGGTGAAGAAAGTAAACAGCTTTGGCTGACCACTGTCCCAAGAGATTATGACCATAACCTCAGTGAAATCAAGCCTGTGGGTGGGTCTGCTCGCCTCCTAAGCAAACGTAATGGTCAAGGTGGTTTTCGGGGAGCCCACAAAATAGTACCGCTTCATTTATAGGCATCGGGGCAAGAGGTTCACAACATAACTAATGCTCATCAACTACAAATTAGTTCTGTGCGACACTAAAATATTCCATATATTTCCATGTTTATGAGGCAGTGCGTACATTGGAAAATAAACCGACTTGCACAACCATTCAAAAGTTTGGGGTTTTTGAAAGAAATTAATACTTTTATGCAGCAAGGATTCATTAAATTGATCAAAAGTGACAGTAAAGCCATTTATAATGTGACACAAATGTTCTATTTCAAATAAATGCTGTTCTTTTTTAGCTTTCTATTCATCTTAGAATCCTGAAAAAAAGTTTTCCACAAAAAAATAAGCAAAACGACCATTTTTTTAACATTGATCATAATCAGAAATGTTTCTTGAGCAGCAAATCAGGATATTAGAGTGATTTCTGAAGGATCGTTTAACAAATGTGACTAAAGTACTTTTTAAAATAAATTCAACAGTTTATATTGTAATAATATTTCACAATATTACAGTTTTTACTATATTTTTAATAAAATAAATGCAGTAGAGCATGAGAGACTTCTTACAAAAAATCTGACCGACCCCAAACATTTAGTGTTCATTACACAAATGGCTTTGAAAAACTTAAAATATGTGCAGTTTCATGGACTACTTTTATGATTTGAGTCTACACTGTCATGAATAGCACTTTGTAAAGATTCTTCAGAAATTTCTGCTTGTTCAACGGGAAAAATAACAGCATAAAAGTTTGGAAAATGGGGGGTAGTGGCAGAATCGATGACAGATTTAGCATTTTCAGTTTTTTGTAGACTGAACAATTGACACCTATAGGCTACAGGTCAAACTCGAAAAATTAGAATATCGTGCAAAAGTTCATTTATTCAAGTAATTCAACTTAAAATGTGAAACTAATATATTATATAGACTCGTTACATGCTAAGTGAAATATTTCAAGCCTTTATTTGTTATAATTTGGATGATTATGGCTTAGGCTACAGCTTATGAACCCCAAATTCAAAATTAGAATATTGTGAAAAGGTTTTCAAAGCCATAATCATCAAAATTATAACAAATAAAGGCTTGAAATACCTCACTTTGCATGTAATGAGTCTATATATTAGTTTCACCTTTTAATTTGAATTACTGAAATTAACTTTTGCACGATATATACATTTTTCGAGTTTCACCTGTAATTCTACGATTTGTATGTAATTCTCATTTGTCATATAAAATATGATGAAATATGAAATAACCCAATCGCAGACTCAAAAACCCATAGACAAAAATGGGTCTTGATTAGAAGAACCTGAAGTGCTGTAAAAGATCCTGCAGTGAAACGTGCATTTCGTCCCATGAATCCTTCACGTTCATTCTTTCTTCTTAGTGGCCTTAAAGGGGTGGTTCAGGATTTTGGACATCGGGCCTCATTTCCAAGTTAGTCTTAGTGTTATTTATCAGTGGAGACAGTTTTAAAAAATGTCATCCAGTCATTCCAGTTACATAGTTCGCCGGTGCTAGGCTAGCGCGAGTCAACGGTAACTGCTAGCCTGCCGTTAAAAACAGTTTTACCCACTCCACAGTACACCAAAAGCAAATAAATTATAACGCCAGACTATCGATGTAAATGTCTGTTGGGAGAATAATGTTAGAAATCAAACTACCCTTTCATTGCATTGCAATAGTTATACTTTGTTCCCTGTATTTATTAGCAGCCTACAGCAGCAGCGGAGTGATATGTAGTTACCTAGGCAACCGAGAGAGATGGAAATGAGGCCCAATGTCCAAAATTCTGAACCACCCCTTTAAGTTAAACTACTGAGAAATGTTTTGTTCTTTATTTCTAGTCAGTGACAGCATCGTCTAGCAATGTTCAAAAGGGCTTGACTCATCCGCACTAATGTCAAAAGCCCTACGTTTTTTTTAAAATAAGAAATTGTTTAGCTGTCATGGCTTGAGTTTCCTTTCCGCTTCCAGCGTACTCCTGTTTTGTTCTCGTGTTTGTTGGTTTTATCATGTAACCTTGCGGGAACACATGACACGATTTCTTC